CCATCTTGAGCTTGTCCTTGCTCAGCCCTGCCACAAGATCCAAAACTGCGGCAGGGATCTCGGGTAGGTCAGCTAGGAATTTTGCCAACGACCTATCTTTGGCGTCGATGCTTGGGATCCACGCCTGAACCAATTTCTCCAGCCATATCGCATATCGAGCTACGATGTTAGGAGAGGATTTGGGGCGAATGCGATCACAGAACCATTCCTCCGCCATCCAGGTTACAGCAAATCGTGTTCGGCGGTGAAAGTCGGCCTTGACAAACTCGAGCATGAGTGTTCGGATGATGTCTGCTTGCGCTGACAATGTTCGAATGGGTTGTTCACCAATGAGTTTGGTCTCAGGTTGAGTGGATGTCGCTTCTGGATCAGAGGGTGGCTCCGCAAAGCCTCGAGTTGCAAGACGAATGACGAGCGACGACCAGAGTGCGTGGGTGCTCGAATCAGACGTGGTGGTCGCCGTCAATGCAGCTGAAGCGGAAGATCCGAATTCGCAGATCCTCAAGACCGTGTCTTTGATAAGTAAATCAGACTCACTCATCGACAGATATTCCGGTGGTGCGAGCGCAAAGTTCTCGATCACTGCCATGGACAGTTCTTCCTCCTCGCCTTGCTCCTCCTCCCCGGCAAGACGGCGGTCATCGCGCGAGCGACTGGTGGCTTCTAACGCTTCGATATCCTCTTCTACTATGTCCGTCTCCAGTGGATTTTTGACAGCATCTTCGCCATCGGGGCCAGCCATGGTTTCGTCTTCCTCCGCTTTAGCGCGTTGTGGGGTACCGTCGCCATTGAGCTGAGCTGAAGTGTCCGGTATGGTGGGCGGTCGCGGCGGCGGTGGCCCAGGAGCAGGGCCAGGAGTAGGTGGTGGCGGCAGCGATGTGGGTACTAACGATGATACTTGGTCTTGTTGTTGTTGTTGTTGTTGTTGTTGTTGTTGTTGTTGTTGTTGTTGTTGCTGTTGTTGTTGTTGTTGTTGTCGTTGTTGTTGTTGTTGTTGTTGTGGTGGTGGTGGTGGTGATGTTGAAGTGGATACGTCTGGTGGAAGATTTGCGCGCATATTGGCGATGGCTGTGTGGAGGTCGTGTTCTGACAGCGCTTGGAGATTGGCGATGATGAGATCGATGACGAGTGCGATGGGGAGCGTCTTGACATCGAATGCAGCTAGAGGGTTACGTTCGACGCCGCCCGTGGTTCGAACAGAAGCGTTGAGGAAAGCCTCTCCTGCAGCGGCGGTCTCACCCTCTTGCGCTGCGGATGTGCCTGGCATACCATGGTGCTGGTGCTCGAGTTTGATCTTCTTGGGTGCGTCGATCAGTTCCTCGTCGATTCTTTCGCGTTTCTTCTTGGCCTCGACCTCCTTCTTGAGTTGGTACGCCTGAGCAGCTTCTTCCATACGTCTCTGTTGTGCTTCCAGTGCCTTCTGTAGCGACGCGGACTCGGGACCTGCGATCTGATTTTTGAGGAAATGAAGACAGAAGACGCGCACGGTCTTTTCGACATTTCGTACTTGAGTGTGTGTGAGGTTGCCAAGACTTGCTGGGGTCCAAGTGGCCATGGCACGAAGGATGACTGAGCCGAGTTGGGGGCGTGATTTGGCGAGAATTGTGAGCGAGTTGACAGAGGCCATGATGAGATCAACGACGTCGCTGGTGAAAATTAATGTGACGATCTGAGCGAAGAGACGATTTGCCTCCTCTTCAAGGTTGGTGGCATTGAGGAAGGGATGTGCGGATGGAACGTTGGCGAGGCTGACATCATTCTTGAGCTGGGCACGAGGATCGGTGGAGCCACGAGACTGGACTTGGACGATGCGCTGATAGCACTTGATGACGGCGAGCTTGGTTCCTTGACTGGCGTGGTCGAAGAGATGGACGACTTGCGCTTTGATGTTTTGGACGGTGTGCCAGAGGCTGGACTTTGCGCGATCGTTACAAACGAGGCGGAAGAGAATGGGGTACATGCTTGCAAAGCATTGCGAGGCGATCTTGGTGAGACGTGGATCTCTGTCTTTGATGAGCAAGAGTATGGCTTCGGGTGCATGTGTTGCCAAGGTGGCCTTGGTGTCTTGAGAGAGAGCGGGACGGCAAAAGGCGAGATCCATGACTTGAGCGATCCATGTTCGTAATGAAGTGCCTGACTTTGGCAAAAGCGAGATGAGGGAAGGCAAGAGGATTGGAATGTTGCCTGGTTGCACCTTGAGAAGATCATAGAGCTCCGAGAGGTGAAGGGCCTCGGTTTTCTTGTCGGAAGAGTTGAGCGCTGCGCTCAGCAGACCGAGCGCATCAGTGTTGGCGGGTGCAGCCATGCTTTATGATACAGCTCAAAAGCTTGTCTGACGACGTGATTGAGCCGGACAATCGCGAAGAAAAGGTGAGTGAGGCTGTAGGCTGCAGAGGAAAATCAAGTCTGTCTGGCTCTTGAGAACTTGGCTACAATGTGGTTTTGGAGGTCCGAGGCAAATGCTTTGCAGACCCGTCGCGGCTCGGCTGTGTGTGGTCAACGTTGTCGAAATTCGAACAGCATTTGTGTCTGAAGTTAGTGGCTGAGTAAACGCGCAAGAGGTGCCCAAGTCGCAGCAAACAGATGTGATCTCGTGTACAACCAAAGTTTGGAGTACAAGGTGTGGAAAGTGGTCGAGCAAGCACGAAAGCGAGCAGCAAATATGCCGTTCCAAGATTCAACAAGCTCGATCGAATGTGATGGGAAATCGATGCGATTGGTGATGGAAGAATGATTGAAAGATGATTTGGAAAAGGTTGAGGACAAAGTCTTGTGATTCTCTGTGTTGGAAGTCGGTTGGTTATTTTGGAATCGACTTTCGGATTCTAAGCTTTCGGTTGGTCTGTGAACAGCCGCACTCACACACTCTGTTTGACTTGACTCTGAATCAGAGAGAGTGTGTGAATGTCAAGATTTATTTTACTTTACACACACAGCACACTGTGTAGAATTATCGCTTCTCCGTCGTGTCACGCTGTTTGCCTAATCTGTGAATGTTATTGTGAATGTTAATGTGAATGTTTTGTGTGCTTTTCTTTTTCCCCTTTTTTCTGCTCCTCGTCGTCGGTAGCTCTGTACAGTAAACTTGGCATGGTGACACTACTTTACCTTCTCAATAGCAGCTCAACTCTTATATTGACTTGCTTCGTGCTCCATGAATGTCACCAGCAATGTCGTCGAATCGTATTTTGATCGCTGCAACCGTTGTCGTAAGAAACGTATCCAAGTGTGGGAGCATGCAAGCCAAAACCACTTGTAGAGCTTGGAGATCGGATCCAGCATCGGGCCCATCGGGCCCATCGGGGAAATTGAGCGCACGGATGCTTTATTCAAGCTGGAACGAGGCGTGTCACACACATACCTTTTGACCTTGCAGCTGTAGGTGCCCATCTCTGAACCTTGCTCCACCTTTTTGCTTTCCTTCTTTGCATCGTTGCTTTCATAGAGGCTTCATCACCACACTCGATCAAAGCCCCTGCTCACATCATGGTTAGTATTCTCGCAGCTGAATGACTGGCAGACATCGTCAAGCAAGATCCGCATCCACAGAGGATATCGAACTCACTTTTGCGTTTCGCACTTCTCAATACGCATCCTTTATCTATTCGCAGGCCGCACAACAATCTCAGGGTATTCAGACCCTCCTTGAGGCCGAGAAGGAGGCCGCCAAGATCGTACAAAAGGCACGCACTTGTAAGTCGCAGCCTTTAGCAGCCATCGCGCAACCTCACGCATCGCCAACCTTGCAACCATTCCAACATCATACATCTTCACATCTTCCCAATGCTGTTCATCAAACCGTTCGTTGCTCGACAATTCACTGACGCTGTCATCCCTTCCATCAATCCTTGTTGAATCTGGCCTTATCCTTGCGATCGCGCAGACCGAACCCAGAAGCTCAAGGACGCGCGCAATGAGGCGTCAAAAGAGATTGAGCAGCTCAAGTCAAACAAGGAAAAGGAGTTCTCTGATTTCCAGAAAGAGGTACGTTTCTGCAATCCTTACTTCATCTTCTCGTTGTCATGCAGTAACTGACTGGGTCACCTCTACTCTTCCGCTCCAACGCGCTTTCTCGTATCTTTGGTCACTCGTCCATAGCACGAGGGATCCACCAGCAGCTCGCAGACTACGGTAGACAAGGAGACGGAACAGAAGCTCGAACAGCTTAACAAGGCATTTGAATCCAACCGCGATCAGGTCATCGAAAAACTTCTTGACCGTGTGGTCGAAGTCAAGACTGAGTTGCACAGAAACTTGCAGCTTCAACAGCAAAAGGCATAAAAAGCTTTCCTCTCTGCTTTTCTCAATCACCGTATCCGAGAGCGCACTTCACACTGGTCTTGTTGCTCCTTAGCTTTATTATCACATTGTCTCACCCCCACCATAGCCTTGATAATGGTTGGTACGGTGTTGCATGATCTAATTCGTGTAGATAAATATCCTTTTGCGTCTTTGTTTTCTTCGTTCGTTTTGCTTCTCTCGATCATTACCCGTGTCTTTCTTTGCTGTGGCGTTGGTCAGAATGGTCAGTCGAGGCAAATGCTTGTTACAAATGCTCAGCATGACCCTCTGAGCGCCCTGAACGCAGCAGAGTGTGGTCTTTGCACAATCTGAGCAACCAGAGTCAAAATTCACTCAGCTGTATAGCAATTTGCTTTACTGTACATTGTAGCATCTGGTCTGCTCGGCAAAGGGCTTGTGACCAAGTCTCCTCGAGTAGCGTCGAGCTCAACCCTGCTTACTCATCCACGAACCTAATGCCCTCACCCTTCATTCGCTCAATATCTGTACTACTAGCTTCAATGTAAAGCTTCAGCAGCATCTGTCATCTTGAACCTAGTGACTTGCGCCCTCTCCTATGCGTTGCGATGCTATCATTCGACATCTCTGCCTGAAGAACTCTCGAAGCATGCCAAACAGCAAAAAGCTCAAAATTGATAAACATTTGTACCATATATTTATGTTAGCAGAGATTTGTATATTAACAGTAGACATCTCCATCCCGATTAGCTCAGTCGGTAGAGCGTCAGACTTTTAACACAAGTCTTCGAGTTCAACTCGAGCAGTGATCTGAATGTCAGGGGTTCGAGCCCCCTATTGGGAGTCTAACTTTCTTTTTTCTATCCTTTTTATTTCTAATTTTCCTCTCTCTGGTCAGTTACGGAATATGAACCTTTTCTCATTTTGATTTTATTTGTTTTATTTTAGTTTATTGGTTTTTCCTTTCTGAGCCGTCTTCCTCTTTACCTTTGGATTTTTTTTTTCTCTGAAAGTTTTCATGTTGCCTTCTGGTCGGTCGGTCACCATCTCGACAGGATATGGACACGCAATAAGAAACAGGGACTCAAGTTGTTGAAGCAGCAGAGAGGTAGTCTTTTCGTTGCGAACCAACCGTCACAAATTGGGTGAGGCATGCTTACGCGATCAATGTCTGGGATGGCGCTTTAAAGCGTTACATGCGTAAGTGTGCATTTCAATAAAAAATATTGCGCAATAGTAAATACGTACTGTTTGGCTTCTGACATTAACGGTTTCTTGGCGCAGTTGGTTAGCGCGTCTCCTTAACAATTCCGTTTCCATTCGGATCGTTAGGGCTTACGGAGGAGGTCGCCGGTTCGAACCCGGCAGAAATCACTTTTTTTTCAATCATTTTCTATCTACCCTTCCCACTTCATGGTAGCATCTTCTTTTTGCATCTCCTTTATCAGATTTCGTATTTGTAGACTGATACACAAACAATCACACAGGACGTACGGATCTATTTTGTGGTTGGGTATAAAGTTTGTTTTTTTTTTTTTTCATCAATCTCATTGTTCAAAATTCATGCAGAGTCATTTCGAATTGAAGCCCTAGTCCCCTCTCGCACATGTTGCTCCATATGAGGCTGCCAACACGCCACTGCGTTTCGCTCGCCGAAAAAGTCGGCACCCAATGATGCCCTTGCCATGACTTTTCCTTTCTCCCCCCCTTTTTGATTCATACTTCTATCGGAGTAAGAGCAAGTTGGAGAAGAATTGGATGTGGTGAGACCAAGTTCGAGATCGAGTAAATCTCTCCACTCTTGCTCGCGCGCGGGCTCATAATCGAACTCGTCGAGAGAAGAGAATGAGGAATTCGAGGCTGAGAACGAGGTTCGAAAGACGCCATGGGCACGTAAAAAGTCGTGTACTTTTTGCCTATCGTAGACCACTTCTTCCACCGGACTGCTTACATGGTCCTCAGGTGAAGTGTCAGTTCCGACGATACTGATCGCATCCGTAGCGACCCTAACCACTTCACTTTCGACCGCTGGCTCTGCTGTACAGAAAAGATTCAACTCGGCACCCACAGCTCCAACATCGGATTCTGCTGTCTCATCGAGCGTCAAAGCAGATACAATTGTACCCATTTCAGAAGCATCGCTCGAAAACAACACCTTCTCCACAGTCACACAACTCGTTTGTCGCTCTACAACATCCGCAGCCGCCTCAACAGCCTGAGGTCCCAAAATCGATCTCGCCATCGCCCTAACTTTCGGCGGTTGCAAGAATACCATCCTCGCCCCCCTCAATTCTGTCTCGTACTCCCTCACACTCAAGCCATCTGGAGGCCTGAATTTCTTACTCTCCTTCTTCAAGATGGTTGATATGCTGCCGTGCTCCTTCAGCAGCCGAAGAGCGGTTTTGGGCCCAATTCCCGGGACTGTGCGATTAAAGTCTGTACCGCAAAGCAGGGCAAAGTCCAGCATCAACGATCGAGTGAGACGGTCGTATGATAGTTCCTCCGCCGTCTTGGCCGCCTCATTGCTGGGGTGGAGTGGGAGAAACTTTACGAGATCGTGTTTTGGGAAAAGGCCGTTGCGCACTCGATTACCGCAGATCACCTCCAATTTGCCCCTACCACCCTCTTTCGTGAGTACACCAGGCGAGCGTACCCCACCCATCAGCCCACGCAGCAGTGGCGCCTCGTACAGCAGCACGTCACTATCTTCGCTCGCAACAAGGTCGGCGAAACCGGCTCGGACAAGAGAAGCGGCGTACGCTTCGGCTTCGTGCACCCTTCCTCCCCCAGTCCGGGTGCCGTCGCCGGTCCAAAACACAGGCACGGCCATGAGTGAGGACAGCGTGGCGCAGTCCTGGTAGATGGCGGCAGAGAGAGGCGTTGTGGCGCGAGCGTAAGTTTTGGTTAGAGACGTGTGCATGGCTGTCAACGAGCTCAGAGAATGCTGTGGAGCAACCTCAGCCGACGGAGCAGTAGAAAGCAGGTCTGACGCAAGGGGCGGCAGTGGCTGAGGAGATTGGCCGGAGATGAGTTGGGTTGCAATTGTTTCGTACAGTGACTGCTCTGCTTGCGCAAGCATCTTCTGTCCTTTGGACTGGCCAGTGCCAGCGTTGCGGAGGGTTTCTTCGAGCTGAAGCCAGTTTGTGTGCATGCTTTGGGCTACTATTTGGGGTGTCGTAGGTGCTGGAGGTAACGGACCTGGAGGTAACGGACCTGGAGGTAACGGACCTGGAGGTAACGGACCTGGAGGTAACGGACCTGGAGGTAACGGTGGCGGAGCTGACAGTGTCGGTGGTGGAGCATTTGATTTCGACGGTGGCATCCGCCATTGATCCAGCAGCTCGCCTACCTGACGTCGTTCCGACTCCTGTAATTCGGACAACGCGTCCAGATGCGTTTGCAGCTCCTGTAGACGTCCTCGTCGTTCGTGTTCGAGCCGGCTGCGGATTCGGTCGAGCTCACGCTTGTGCCTGCGCTTGACATGTTCGCGATCTTTGAGGGCCAGTCGCTTTTTCGGGTGGTCAAAGACCATGATTGGTACAACGTCATGTTGTCGTAGCGATGTGATGAGGCGGTAGAAGCCGATCACGTGGCGTGATGGGTGTGGGTCGTCGGCGAAGTGGAGACGCTGTACTAACAATGTGGCGTCGATAGCGAGTCGTACGCCTCTCAGCGCTGGAAGAGCAAACGGACGTGAAACAGCCTGTGGCGTGAGCGTCCGAACAAGTGGGAAGATGCCCTTGATACCGTATGCTGACGATGAAGCTCGCATGGTGAGAGCGATCTCCTGGCCAATGCCCCTGTCAATGCTTCTCGGATCGCACCGCAAGCGTTGATAACTAATGTGAGCGCATGGGCGGGTCACACTGGAAGTGATGCTGCGAGAAGAAGTGTCGTGACGTGTAAGGCAATTGCTGGGCTTGCTGCGACAATGGACAAAATAATGGGGCTTGCGAGGATATATAGTGGATGTATATGGTGTTGATTGAGAGAGCTCGACACATGATTGTGGCCTGTTCCGAACCAATTTTCTAGGGTCCAGCTCGGACTACAGTAAGCTGCAGCTGAGCCTTTTTTCTATCTTTTCATCTTTTTTTTTTTTGCCCAGCTCAGCCCAGCTGTGCGGCCTGTGGAGGCGCTGCATCAAACTATATTTGAAGAGACGACCAGTGTAATGGCACGCTGATTTGTGCTACCCTCAAAAATGCTACCCTCAAAAAATTTCTCCCAACGTGGGGCTCGAACCCACGACATTCAGATATACACCGAGATAATCTCGGAAACCCTTGAACTAAGAGTCTGACGCTCTACCGACTGAGCTAGCCGGGATAGACTGATTGGTTAAATAAAAAATGAACTGCAATTATAATTGCAACTGTGTTTCACCTTCGGTACTCCACAGATGACAAACAGATGGCGACACAAAGAAAGGCCATTTGATCAAGTCGGGTTGAACAGATACACAGAAGAACAAATTTTTAATTTTGTGCAGGCCGTGAGCAACAGTGAAGAATCAAACGAGGCGACAGCGCCATGCTTTGACAATAGAAGCGATGTCTGAAACCATGCGTATGGCTCAGGACAGGAAAAGGAGCGTGTAAAAGAATGACAAAGCCGACTCCCAAACCAGGACTGGAAAAGTAAGAAAGCACAGAGAGAAAGGCGAAGAAACAGAAGAATCTGAGGAGGAGCAAACGAGGAGAATTCTAGGCTGGTGAAAACGGATGCCTGTGTGGTGGTTTATGAATCCAGCCTATTTAATCGGGAGTGCCGTGCGAGTTAGCTGCCGTGCTTCTCGTTGGCCGAGCAGGTAGAGCGCAGCTGCGGCATAGGTGCGACAGTTGGCACCTGCCTATCATATTCTCCGTCCACGTTTCCAGGAGGATAGTACTCGCAGACCACGTACATCGACGCTCTGTCATTGGGGCTGTAGTCTTGCATGAACCCCTTGCGTTGGGACACAGCACAACCCACAAAAAGTGTATCCTTCCACACTATCTGAGACCAGTGGCCGGTGCTTTCCGAAACATGAGGGCTTTGAGCCCAGTTGCGGTCTTCATCCAAAAAGGACATGATTGCGTTCTTCATCCCAATCATCGGATCGCTGTAGCAGGGGTCGCCTAGTCCCACGGCAATGTTCTCGCCCGAAGCGCAAAAGTGATCCTCAGAGTGTCCGTATGCCTTGAGATCAGCCCAGCAAGCTGCCATGTTGGCCAACTCGACATTCCACTGCAAGGAAGGAAGATTGTAGCGAGCACGTTCAGCGTTGTGAATGTCAAGTGCGGCCTTGGACACGGGGTCGAGAGCTTCCTTAGGGAAGGCAGTGTCGAAACGGTGATCCTTGTCTTGAATAGTATATGACTTGTTGGTGAAGGGAAAACGACGGTTGCAAGTATCGGCTCTGGCTGGTCGGGCGATAGGTTGGCCTGTGGCTTGAATGATCGCGTTGGCAGCTGAAGACACGGGCGATCGACTCCACTCCACGTGAACGTCCGTGAAAGGAGAAGGGTTGACTGACTGATCGGTATTGCCGCTAATGACGTATTTGAAAACATTCATAAAATGGCTGTACGAAGAGGTGAACGTCGAGGATGATGTCTTGGACATGGAACTCTTGTTGCTCGTTTTGCCTTCCTTGTCGGTTACCCAGGTCGAAATTTGGTGGCTAGAGTCATGATGGTGCTCAGTATGACTGGAATAGTCCTCGACATGCGCCTGGACTGGCTGAGGGGCACTATGGCGCTGAGTGTCATAGTCGCTTTGCTTCTCTGTTGCATGGTCTTCAGACTGGTTTTGTTGGAAGCTACTGTCGTCCGAGCTCTTGAAGCTCTTATCTCTATGATT